GGGTCCTTTGTGCCTCGGGGGGGGGGTCGCCTCGAAGAATCCTAACTTTAATCCTCCCTGGGGGTTGGGGTTGGTTCGTGAGTTCGTCTCTCTCGGTGCGTAAAGGGCGAAATCGTGGGGTGGGGGGGTGGAAAGGCGTCTCTGGAGGGGATGGGGATCTTGCCTCTCGGAGGGAGCCTTGGCTGAAACGTGTCTTGGAGAGGTTGCCCTCCTTTGCCCCTCGTGGCCCCTGTCGAAGAAGAAGCCTAAGGGTGTCACTTTGCGCCCTTCCGTGACCCCCAAAGATGCCCAGGGGACCCTCCTTGCAGGGCAAGCCAGCCTGTGCCACTCCGGGCAAATTTCACAGTCTCAGGATCCCCCCCCCCAGAAGAAGGGGAGGGTCGACCACCTGTGGAGAGCCTCTACCTGGGGAAACCCTGGAAAGGGTCGCCAGAAGTCAGGACTACCAGCACATCATCCTCATCCCACAACTACCTGTGGGATTTCTAGATAGATTGCGATGCATTACTGCTTTGACTGGATTTTTTGGTACTATTTGTGTTTTTTTGGTACTACTTGTGTTTCCCCCATGTGGGCAACTTCCAGCATGCCTTTAAAAAAATGTATATTTATTGATCTTATTGATCTTTGCTTTAATATTGGCTGTTAATAATGTAAGATGCCTCTTTAGGCATTGCTCATAGTTTTAAATATTGTTTTTTAATGTTGTTAACCACCATTTTTTTTTCAGTTTTAAATATAAAATTGTTGTAAGCACATCTTGGGTCCTTTACAAGGAGAAAGGCGGGGTAGAAAAAATATTAAAAATAAATGAATAAATATCAATCTGTGTTACTCTTTGCTGTTTTTACTATTAAGATGTGTGGCAGGGACAAATGGACTCGATGGCAAAGCACATATTTTGCATGCAGAATATCCCAGATCCAATCTCTGGCATTTCCAGTTGCATTTATGACTAACTGTTCCATTCCAGCAGCAATTGGCAAAGAGTGCGGGGCCATCTTAAAAGCTAGCAAGTTTTGTGTGACACAAACTTTTGTAGCCTTTAGGCAGCTTTATCATGTAGTTCCCCCAAAGGTTACGCTCAAAAAATTTATTTAATATGCCAGAAGACTGTGGTTTTAATAGCAGTTAATGGCCAAGTTTTGGCAGGTGGGAAGGGGGCCCTACCTGAGATCTTGGGGAGCTACTGTCCATGAAAATAGACAATATTGGGCCAGACAGATAACTAATTTGACCTGGTGTAAGACAAAGAGGTCTTCATGGAGGACAAGGTTACCCATGTTTAGAACCTATGCTAGCTAAGTAAAGGTAAAGGTAAAGGTTCCCCTTGACATTTTTTGTCCAGTCGTGTTCGACTCTAGGGGGCGGTGCTCATCCCCGTTTCCAAGCCATAGAGCCATCGTTTGTCCGAAGACAATCTTCCGTGGTCACGTGGCCAGTGTGACTTAGACATGGAACGCTGTTACCTTCCCACCGAGGTGGTCCCTATTTATCTACTTGCATTTGCATGCTTTCGAACCGCTAGGTTGGCGGGAGCTGGGACAAGCGACGGGCGCTCACTCCGTTGCGTGGATTCGATCTTACGACTGCTTGGACTTCTGACCCTGCAGCACAGAGGCTTCTGCAGTTTAGCCCACAGCGCCACCACGTCCCTTAGCTAAGTAAAGACCAAAGGCTATATGCTGCCTCTGAAATATTAGTTCCTGCAGAACAAGTAGGAGGGGACAGTTGCACTCATTTTTTTGGATATCAGACCAAAAGCAAAACGGAAACAAAATGAGACAAACATGTTGTGATATCTTAAAGATTAATATATTTTAACATGAGTTTTTGTGGATAAAGTCCACTTCCTCGGACATAAGACTATATGACTTGTCACATTTATGCATGACCCCATGACTGAAGGAGGTATACAGATAATGAACAAAATGTCAACATTAGTAAAGGAATAGGTTATCAAGGCTGTGAAGATCAGTACATAAGTGGTGAACTGTGTGAAATCAGTGTAGCATTTCACTCTTAGTAATGACTTAAGAACCTTTGATTGATAGTCAATACTTTTAAATAGATCTCCGGCATCCGTATATACCTTATTTCAGTTGTTTCTCTTTGAAGCCTTGTTGACATAAGTGGCAAGCCGTGCAAATCAATGTGCCATTCTTCACCAGGTAATGACTTAGAGATACCCAGTGTATTGTTGGCAAAGAATAGCATAGATCACATTAGCAGAGGAACAAGTGCATATGTGCCCCGGATATTGTGTATGACACTGGTCCCCAACCTTGGGCCTCCAGATGTTCTTGGACTACATCTCCCAGAAGCCTTCACCACCGCCTCTGCTGGCCAGGATTTCTGGGAGTTGAAGTCCAAGAACATCTGGAGGCCCAAGGATGGGGACCACTGGTGTATGACATTGTTTGGGCCTGTAATTACCGTATGTTGCAAGAGAACATTGTTGGTGTCTAGGTTTGTAGTAGGGTATAGTCCCTTTCTCTTTATCAGTGTTGTGTAGTTGTTGCTTGAGGTTCTGGGGTTGTCTGTAAGCAAGTTAGGCCTGCCACCAAGGACTTGGGAGAGTGTAATATTCTTGTCAAGGATGGATTATTTATTTGTTATTTAGGTCACATGATGCATATGAGTGGTCTCAGTCCAATATTGGACCATTTTCTCTTTTGTCTGTCTTGCAATAGATTCCTTCTGGCCTTATTTGTTAATTCAGGTAATTTGTTCTTTAATCATATTGGATAGGAATTATAGTTTTAGAAATGCATTTTCTAGATCCTTGAGTGTGGAATCTTTTGTCTTGTATGTCCAAGCAGATGCAATTATATCTAAGGGCTTGGCTGTTAAACAATAGATTTTGCAGTATGCTCAGGATGGAAGCTGAAGGCATGCAAGAATGTTTATCAATCAATGGATTTTTGGTACAATGTGATGCTAAGATGTCCACATTGTAGCTTCATAGTGGTGTCCAGAACGTGCACCTCTTATGTAGATTGGTCCAAGCTGAAGTTGATATTAGTGTGGAAGTTACTGAAATCCCAATGGAATTTCTCCAGGGCTAGTTTTCCAATTTTTAATATTTATTTACAGTGATGCCTCGCAATACGACGTTAATTCATTCCAGCGAAATCGCTGTAGAATGAAACCGTCGTAATGCGAAAATAAAAAGCCCACTGAAACGCATTGAAACCCCTTCAACGCGTTCCAGTGGGCTGAAAACTCACCATCCAGCGAAGATCCTCCATAGGGCGGCCATTTTTGGTGCCTGTGCAGTGAGGAATCCATCCTAGAAAACAGCAGGGAGCCATTTTATTTACCCAGCGGCCATTTTGAAACTGCCGATCAGCTGGAGGAAAATCGTCGTTTTGTGAAGAATTGTTTCCCGAAGCAGGGAACCAATCATTACAAAGCGAAAAAAAACCATTCAGACAATCATTTTTTGATCGCAATTGTGATTGCAAAACGATCGTTGTAATGTGGTTTTGTCGTAATGCGGGGCAATCGTAAAGCGAGGCACCACTGTATTTATTTTCCGGCTTTTACTCCTCCCATCTAGATTCAACGAATCTACTCTGGACAGCTTACAGTGCGAATATAAAACAAAATGAAAACAAACAATTTCAAACATAGAAATAGGCAAAGTCCAAGATGGTAAGAGATAGAGAACTAAGAATTGGAAGGGGGGGAAGGCCTGCTTGAAGACCCATGACTCACATTATGAAAATGTCATATTATGTTCCTTCCTATGAATTTAATAGGTGTTTAATAAAAATCTGTTTAATTTTTAGAGATTGCATGTGTCTAGATCTGTGTTTGTAATGGCCATTAGCTAATAAGTATGCCCTCTGCTGGATTGCAGTCTTACAATCTCAGCAACACATAGGGTTATTTTTCAGATTTGCTGGAACCTTTCAAGGGTTGGGAACCCCAAGACTACCGGGGGAGGGGAGGTGGAAAGATGTGGCAAATATTCAGTTTTGCATATTTAAATAATTCTAGTGATTGCTAGACAGTGGCTTTTTACTGATTGAAAAAAATAGGTTTAAATTAAAAAAAAACCCCTTCTAATTAAAAAGTCTTATCAAGCCTGAGAGTGTTGAAGACCTTGAGGTGCTTGTCCTCAAACATAACAGAATTGCCCTGTATTCCCCAGGACTTAAATAAGGGGATTTAATTAGAGAAGAAATAAAAAAGTTTTTGGAGAGTTGGGGGACTGGAGGGCTGCAAGAATAGCTTTGATGGATACATTCATATTTGAGTTCATCGTCATTGCGTGCCATCAAATCAGTTCCGACCCATGGCAATCCTTTTTTTTAGGGTTTTCTAGGTAGAGAGAAGTCAGAAGTGGTTTACCGTGCCCTTATTCTCGGAATATCCTGGGAATGTGCAAAGCCAAACAAGCTGGCTCTTCTAGGATGCACAATGGGGAATTGAAGTCCCAGGTTCTACTGCTATACATATTTATGGGAGTGAATGCCAGAAATGCAGTCATATGCTGTGTAACTGACTCAGTGAAACCAATAAAAGCTTGCCATAAACTATAGTCTATTTCATATTCGATCTCATTGGATAGCATTCCACGAAAGAGAATCTAAATGCTGTTGAAGTCATCATTCTGTTCGTCAGATGAAAAGAGGAGACCCCACCTCATTCAGCTTCCTCATGT